TCCCCCCCCCCCCTTTTTTTTTTAATGAGGCAAGTCTGGAGAGCCTTGTCATTTCAAGTGAAGATATGCACAGTCTTTCTCTTTCCCCCTTACAAAGCCTACAGTGTTGTACAAAGGATGCAGTATTACTTTTGACAACAGAACTATGGTAGAAGAGTACCTTGTGCATTTTTTAATCCCACCCTGCCCAAAGAAGTTTAGTCATAGTGTTGGAAACTGAAAGAATTTTTTTGATGGCTTGGCTGTTACTGCATCTCTTAGGTGTGGAATTCTTCCGTATTGCATCTAAAGGACAGGACACTAATCAGATGATAACTGCGTCTCCATTTTCTCAAGCTCGAGATGCTTGTTTGTGAAGACCAGGTCGTGAATGCATTGGAAACCCAAATTATTTTTAAAGAGAATTGTAAGGTTTTTATCTGTAGTTTTGGTCAGTAGCCCAACTTCTGTAGCAGGGATCTGATATTTGACCTTGTCACTGAAAATTCAGGAATTGAAAATCAACAGCCTTGAAAGAAATCTCTTTTTTGTTTGTTTGTTTGGGGTTTTTTAATTTTTTTTTTTTTAGCAGTAACAAAAGTAATTTAACAAAAAATAAAATCAAAGTAGTCTATTGACGTTGTGTACTCAGTAGTCCTGTCCCTGCTTGTAACAAATTTCACTGATGTATTTTTTAATACAGAAAACTGTGTGAAAAGTAAACCTGCCCCTGATTCTGTATGATCCAAGTCCATCTGTGTCTGTCATTTCTGATCGGAGATGCTGTTTACTTCACATCCTGGCCTGTCATTGTTGAGAGGAAATACTTAAGCCAACATATATTATCCTACCAATAAACTACCCAGACCCATGGAGGCTTAATGATTTCAACTATGTTAATTTTATAGTGTATAAACACTAACCTTTCCCTCGCTGTAGTTATATTAAAGTAGTAGTTAAATAGCAGGTGCACTATTCTGAGTTTGGACATTTGGTATAATTCAGAAAAAAATCAAGTCTATTGTATGATGTAGCGTGCACATGCGCGCGCACACACATGCAAGCCAGCAAGCACAGGAGATGTCTTGCTTGCGTGCAAGTATGCCCAGAACTTCAATATTAATACAGACCAGGAAATGTCCATGTATTATTGTAATTCTTGGACATTCACCACGCAAGTGCAGCTATTCAGGTCTGTTTCAGGTTGTTTTCCCCATGTTTGATTTTTCAGGTAATAAGAAAGGAAAACGGTCAAGACCAACCTTGTTTGTTTGTGGGGGGGTTTTCCTTTAAACAACAACAAAAACAAAAATCTGAGTTTTCCCTTGATCAAAGTTATAGAAATATTCCCATAGAATAAAATAATCTATTTGTATATGATGAGTGACTTCATTCATTTTTCTTTCTGTCTCTTAAGAACCTCATTCTCTTTCCTGCCTGCAGAACTACAGCATATCAGTTCGGTCTCGGTATCTGAAATGATTCTTACCCTTCATGTCCTCTTCAGAAAACAAACCTAAATCACTTTAGCCTAGCTGATTGAGAACAGAGTTGTTGAACATTTTTGTCTTTTTTTTTTTTATTTAACTTTTTTTTGACGTTAAATGGTTCATTGCAGCTTTTCGGTAACATTTTTAATAGGATCATAGTTTGGGTTTTCCACAGTGATACCTTCTGCTTTGTGGTTCTTCATTAGGGACAGTGTACGTTTCCTGGGTATTACACTGTTGTCTCAGCCACACAGAAGATCTGTGGTCAATTTGGTTAGGGTTTCTTAGTTAGAGGGCCCTCTTATTTAGAAAGGTTTAAGTATATTTATAAGTTTTATGCAGAGTATCAAAGGAACTGGATATCCTAAAACACTTAGACATAACTATTTATAATAAAAGGTTTCTATATTGTTTGCTGTCCACGCAACACTTCCATTACTTGAAATGCTCTATTTAAAGAGAGAAATCACTTCCTTTAGTCTATAAATGAGCACAGAAATAACAAAGATGTGTGCAAGAAAGATGAAGGCATTTCTCCCTGCTAATAGGATTTCTGTGATTATTTATATGCCTTCTAACCCCTGGAGGCTTCTAATTTTGAGTGTGCTATCCTATGTATGCACAGAGAAACATCTCTGTACAGGCTGTTATGCTTGAGGGCCTAGGAGCTGAAATGTCTTGCTAGTTATTATAGGGTGTGTTATAGTAAATTACAGCTCTATCCAGTAATTAGAGTCCTTGAATTTTGCTCTTTTTATTTTATAGCCTTTCTGGGGTATGGCTGTGCTCTGTGCAATTCTATTATTTTTCTAGTGCAAGTTACCCTAAAAAAATGCTTAGTACTTAATGTACTGAGCTCCTTCAGCTTCAGTTGACTTTAGAGGGAGACTGAAGGCACTTGGAGTGTCACAGAATCAGGTGCAAAGGAAGGTGCATGTTTTATAAATTATTCCATCAACCTCAGTCACCACTGATCCAGAAAAGGCTGGATTTATCTGGCAAGTCTCCAGTTTGATCATGTTTTCTCAGAGGCTTAAAATCAAGTGATGGCAGCATCATCTCTTTCATGCAATCATATAACGACCAGGCAGCACTGATGAAGCTTTAGTGCTGGGTTACAGAACTGACTCAGAATGTGCAATAAAGTCTTTCCTTGAGCAATAGGTTCACTGTTGCCTTAAAACATAGAGAACAAATGATGTGCATAGAAATGTTATTGGTAGGGTGGTTTTTTTCAATTTCCATCTTGGGCTATCTAAACAGAACAAGGGCGTTTCAATTTTGCTAGCCTCAATGCAGTAGGGTGTCCTTTTTGTGTGTGTGTATTATTTCTAACAAACCCAATGAAATCAGAATCTGGATTAGTTTTCTTTTGCTGCATGGCTGCTAATTTAACAAACGTGGCATGTAAAAAAGGGGCATCTTTTCAGGCTAGCCTGCAGTACTAAAACAAGCAACTGAACTTGAGCAGCCAATGATGCAGATACATTGCAGAAAACAGATGAAACATACCCATATTCACTGTGTTTTTTGTAAATCTTTGCAGTGGCAGTAATTTTTAATTCTTGACAAACCCCTGAAAAAATGGCTGATGCTTGTCAAATACTTCTATATTTTTTCATGAATCAGATTTTCCAAAGAGCAACATGAAACTGGGTTGTTACCGGTCCTTGTACAAGAGAGATTTTGCAGCCAATCGTTGTGGCATGGTACTTCATGATGGAATATGGATTTCACTCCTGTATTGAAAGTGTCAGACCATTGCTAGCTGCTTATTTTCTGCAGGATGAAAGTTAGTTTCATCTTACCTTGGTATTAATAAAGCGGAATCAAAGAGTCTGGTTTTCCCTTTAAGAATTGCAACTTTAGAGTGAACCCTGCTTGCATTACACAAGAATTACCACTGAAGTAAAATCCCTGTGAGATGAGCCGTATTACCATTTTGTGTCTTTCTGCTCCTTGATGCCTTCAGAACTGAAAGGGTGGGACTAGATTTTTATGCTATAACTGTTCTGTTGTGGGCAGTAGCTTGAGTACAATTTATAGTTCAGTATTGTGAGTGAAAGCTTGTCAGCTAGTTGCATCTAGCCACACATGCAACAAAAATGCTTTTTTTTCTTTGGGGCTTAAATGCACGTGTAGATGGTGCCATCAGGATTAACTTACTCTGGCTCAAATTGAACCAGAGTATATTCAGGTGCATTAATTGCATGTGTAGACACACCCAGTGTTACTTGAGCATAATACAAGACTGACGGTGTGGTATGCAGATGCTGTTATACCAGTAATGGGAAAGACTTTGCAAAGCCCTACTTTGAAAACTCAGAAGTTTTTAAGTTTAGAATTACAAACTTTTGTTTATTATTTTGTTATTTCAATTTGAGGAAGAGTTTTAATGATGAACATAAAATTGTTGTGGGTTTTTTCATTTAAAGTTAGGTGCTGCATGCATTTGAATCAACAAAGTTAAACTGATTTCTAAACCACTGTCAGCTTGCCCCATCATATAACCATTCCAGAATTTTGTAACATAAGTTTTAATGATGACATGAAGCCTAGATATCTGGGATTCTCCCATCCCTAGCACCTAACTTGGATAGGATGATAACATTCACACAGCTAAAGCTTTTCCTATCTTCCTGAGAGATTTCATGGTGGTGGGGTCTCCCCAAAAACCCTGGAATTTACTAGGGTAGCTATAAAAATACACAGTATTCTCTAAAAATGATCAAGTTAAAAAAAGCACATCTTTCTGAATGGATATGCATTTCTTTGGCCAAAAATCCTGTCTGGGTTCTTCATGATCAGATTGTGCGTGCAAAGGCAACAACAGCTGGTTGAGCCATGGATGGCTCATATGGTTTATAACAAACTGTAATTGTTCAGTTTACAAAGGAATAGCTCATTTGCGATCTTGGGCCAAATACCTCTCTCGCATTTGAATATTGCCTGTGTATATTTATAACCCAAAAAAACCCTAGAATGGTCTCAGTCTTGATCCTGGGTAGCCAGTATCCCTACCCATAGCCTGCTTGACACGGGCTGATTCATGGCACTTGAGTTCTATTCCCAGTTCTGCCATGGACTCATACCAGAGCCGTAGGTCCAGTTCACATTACAAGAACTACTACTATACTATAGATGAAAGCCTCCACGGAGTCACTTGCTCCTTTGTACCTCACTTTCACTATCTG